ATTTGAAAAGGGTTTTTAAGTAGGAAAATGAAATCAGAAAGGAAAAATATTTCAACAGCACTCTCATACAGCATTTTACTTTAAGTTAAAAGAAGAAAAAAATTTGGGGCCAAAAGCGTGTCACTTGTCCTTTAAAGAGGTCCCTGGGGTAAAAAGGGGAAAATGCAGAAATTTTGGCAATTACGCCCCTTAGATTAGCTGAAAATTCCTTTCCAGAACGATTTGTTGGAGAAATTTCAACACGTTAAACGGTTGTCAATTTTTCGACGAAAGCCCGAATTTTCCGGCGACATCGTTTATTGGGAGGGGCAGTCCGAGCCTCCCAAAATCCCCTAATTTCTGCCACTGTTACCATCTCTTATAACGTCAATGCAATCATGTTGAAAGCACTTTGGGTCATATAGGGAACGAGTTCAAATAGGGAAATCGTTACAAGTAGGCCTATCTACCTGTTTGAAACCAGAAACCACGGCAAGTAATTTTTCTGAAATAGAATACGGATTGATGCTTCATTCAACTATCATCTTGCGATTTCAATCATTAAAGCGGTAGTAGTCATAGAAATTCAACAATCAACGATAGCTTCCATGAATTCGAAGAGGAAATGAAAACATCGACCTACTTTCAAACGGTTCCATGTCAACAAGGAAGTTAAATCGTAATTCAGCAACAGCAACTGTTTCACAGAATGAAAATGAACACGAAACAGAAACAGAAAATGAAGAAGTCGATTATAGATCAGCCTATTTTTACAAGCCAGTATCGGTGATTGAAAGATCTCATTTCTTGAAACATGAGTATGGCATTTTTGTAATAAAACATTGGCACCCATTTCAGATTGCTACGTATTAGAACGCTGTGGTAATGAAAGACAAAGATCAGTAGTGGCTACCTTGGCAGTGACCTTGTTTAAGATTCGGCTTTTGTTAGCTGTTTGTTCAAAGTGACCTCTTTGACCGCCAGATATAAGGTTGGATAACTTCCTTTATATATGTAACAAAGTCACAAAGATATTGGATATCAGGCTCTGCTGGTAGGAAAAAGGACCCAAAAAGTTCATGATTTTGGACCCAATGTATTGTGGCCTAATATGAATAATTATATCAGGACAAGTTACACTTGTTTATAAGAATATCCAGGCTCAGAAATCATAGAAATATTTGTGCCTCATTGTTCAGCAGCTGCCTGTTTTGGGAATGCAGGATGGAATTCAAACAAAAGACACAGTAGATATTGTAAACTTTTCAAGAGAAATCTCGAGAAACAAAAAAGAGAGCATCCTATGAAACAAAATAATTTGATATTTAACTTATGCGCTGCTTGCTGGTATTTAATTTCATATCTTTATATATTTAGTTTCAGTCTTTTGTTTCTGGTTATAATCGATCCAGGTCATTTTGCTCATTGGTGCTTTTCATATCTGTCCTTTTTGTCGTTGCTGCTTTTGCTTGTCAGCGATTGTTTGTTTAATAACAATCGTTTAGTTGTCTCAATAGTTAAATACTAACTTGTCTGGGGTTGGCGAAACGAGCTTTGCTAAGCTTGATATACTTTAACATTTAATTGTGAAATTATGATGGTATCAAATCATATGTATATTGAGCCTATTCTTACTTCCAAAATATATTTTGAAAATTGAAGAGTTGCGAGGGGGGCTGAGCATTCCTAGAATTTACCCGGGTGTAGGGTTCGTGTAGAAGAACACTTATTAAATTGCTTGCTGCAATATTGAGCGATCATCTATCATGGGACTACCATATAGCCAATGTAACATCCGTATGCAATAGTGTTTGGTTTATTTCTAGTGAAAGTGAGCCCCCTGAGGTTATATGGTGATTCAGTTATGTAAAAATATCTTCCATGAAACTTGGGTTTTCGTGATGAATAGTTTTGTAAATTTTTTGTTGCAAGTTGCTTTAAATCCCTTATATGGATTGTAACCGTGTTGTCTTTGAGCAGTAGTTGTTTAAAACTAGATGAAGAATCGTTGTAGGCTATTCGCAATGGTCTTTCATGAATGTTGTAAATAAGTGTATTGTTTTTCCTTCTACAATACATCCATACCAAGGAACAGTAATTGAAGAATGTCAAAACAAATGTCATTAAATTTTGATTTTTTGTCTATCGTTACGCCCAACAATTTCACTTTGTCTCCCACTTTAACTATTTGCCTGTTTACATAAATAAATGCTACATTTTTCAACATTGTTTGGTTTTGCTGAAATCAACATAAGTTTGCATTTGTCTCCATTGAGCTGCAGAGCATTGTGCTCACGATTTTCTTACTATCTAAGCATTGTTCTAGATCTTCAATGTATCTTATAAGAGTGTAGTCCACAATTCGTAATTCTGACTACTTTTGGTAAATCGAGCGCACCACACTAAAATCCTCAGCAGATAACACAGCAAGAAACAACACAGGTTCCGTGGTGATGTGTTAAACGTAATTCACTAAAGAAAAATTATAAAGATTATAAATTGAGAATACGAATAGAAGCTTGATATTACAATATTATGAAAACGAATAATTATCAAAGGCTAATGAATGTTAGCATTTAAGGATATAAACCTACGAAAAAAACCCAACTAAACTAGAACATGCCAGATATGAACTAATTACAAACAAAGTGAGATGTATCTGCATATAAATACATGCAAATTTAGAATCCATTATTTCTCGTAGCCATAAAACTTTGTATGACAGCCAAACACAGCGAGAAGAAACTACCAGGCCAAAGCTGCACGTGAAACAATAGAAAATTGCCCCTAACACAGCGAAATACAAGGCGAGTAAAAAAACCAACCCAAAATGTGGGGTGCAATACCTTTATAGCTACCGGAAGTAAATGAGGAAAAGCAATAGCACGCAAAACGGAAATACCAAATTTGGCTAATGAAACGTATACTAAGAGGCGTAAAGAAAACAATGCAATGTAAAAACGAGGCTAGATAAAAATAACTTTAACTCAACGTCCAAGCAGTGTGACCAGATCTCAATTTCGCAATTATGCTGAAATTGTCATAAAACTATGCTAGATTCACAAAATTCATGCTAGATTTAAAATCGAGGCTCTCTCGTTTGAAAGAGAGGCCAGCGCATGTGCAGAATAGCAAAAAGCTCAGAATAATGTTCAACAAATAGAGGATTCATGGGGAATAAAAAGCTCATCGTTAATAAAAAGCATTTTTCTATCCCGTTTATCTCTATATTGTCTGCTTAAACCTTTGACTTTAATTTCCCAAACCATATTTTGGTTGTTGCTAGAAATTCGTCAATAAATTTTTTTTCGTACAGTTTTAGTTCCTCTTCTATGATGATGAAGATCTTTTCACAATTTTGGTGTCTTTCTTCCAAACCTATTTGTCACTTTAGTTGTTTAGTTTGCTATATTTTTACTTTTTACATCGTGCCACGTCTGTTCTTAACCAGTCTTTTTGTTAGTGTATTCTAAGACATTTAAGAAAGATTCACTGACCAGCAAGAAATATTATAGACCAGTCAGTATCTTGCCTGCTATTTCAAAAATATTTGATAGAATTATTTTCAATCAACTATACACTTTTATTTGTCACCTGCTATCCCCGCTCCTTTGTGGCTTTCGTACAGCCATTGATATGGAATCTTGAGCACTGTCCTTATGGATGTCTCCAAAGCATTTGATTGTCTCTCACATGAACTCTTACTAGCACAATTGGAAAACATATCGACTTAGTAGAGATGCTTTATTATTATCAATTCTAGACTACCTGCAAGAACTAATCATGTTTTTGTTAATTTGAATTGATTGTGCTGGTTTGTAAACTGTTCAACTTAAGTTGTTGAACGTTATTCTCCATGAATTTTTAAGGGTAAAATAAAAATAGGCAGTTGAAAAAAACGAAGATGTTTTTTCTGTGTCCCTTCAGGACTTTATGGATAGCCCCTGTAGTTTGTAGATGGGTTATAGAATAAATGTAAGCGTACACACGTGCTAGAGAACTCATTTCACGCATTAACTGATTGATACTGTCATGTAAAGAAGTCACGAAGGTGTCAAAAAACAGACTGACGACTTCATGTTTGGTTTGTTGAAAGAAAGATGATATACAACATTTTAAAGAAGTTATTCTTGTTGACTGCTTTGGCGTAGAACAACTTTTAGCATTGTTCAAGGTAAGTACTATTTTCGATCTTTGTAAAAGATCAGCAACAAAATGTCATTCAAGAAACTTCTTTCCATTTGCCTCTTCCAATCTATTATAATCAAATAAGTTTACAATTATTAGAAAGAGTATCCGATTTCTAAATAAAATAACAAAAATTTCTACTTTAGAAAGGTCTAGAAGATATGAAAAATATCAACCTAATAATTTTATATTGACAAGATAACAGAAGATTATGATTTTCTAAAAGCCAAAAATAATAAGAAATATGTGCAGATTGAGCTCATAAAACACTTGAAAGGTGCTTCGTATTTTCATAATTCCGAGCAGCATCGTGAATCTCTTCGTATGGTGATTGCAAGCCTGCGTAAGTTGAATTGGTGGTTGCAATTTGTCCCTGCAGATCCATGTAATGTGTCTCCTTTGGCTCTTCATTCCTATGGATTCAACAAAGTACACTCATTTATCTTTGCTAAGTGTATGAAACTACTAAATGAAAGCCATTTAAAATTGGCAAAGGACATAGAAGAGCAGCTAAGGACAGAATTTACTTTTGAAAAACAATTGGAAGTAGATAAATTTGAGAACGACATAAAATTGGCAAAACTTTAACAATACGAAAACATCAACTCAATATACCTTTTATTTCCATTGTCTTGAGCTACAAAAAAGTAGATGAAACTTTCAAGTCTTTGAGCGATATAATTCTTAATTATGAAGGACATCTGACAGCTTGAAAGAAACATATTTTTGTGATGAAAACCGTAACTAAGGATACCTTGTGTTAGTTTTGCCTTTATTCTGAAGACACAGATCACCATTGTGGCCATGGCAATGAGTAAGACCGCAATCAGTACTGAAAGCGCTATGATTATGTTGTCTTTCTCTTCATCGCTATTCACTGCAATGACAACACAAAATTTGTAGGCTATATGCGGGCTCTTGCCCTGTTGTGGACAGAATTCTGACTGCTAGGAATAGCTTCTAATAAGGCCCTGAAGCTGGACAGAGGGCAGGAGCTAGTATCTATAAATAGGGAACATAGCCCTTTAGCTGTACCGTAAGATGTTGTTTTAGACAATGTTGAAAAAACCCGCTTCATTCCTTGAAGTTCCAGCTCAGAAACGAGGAGTTACAAAGCCTTTAGAGTTAAATCCCCCCACCCCAAACACCACCACCGTATCGCTAACACATTACCAAAAAGGTCCAAAAGGAAGATTCTTATATGGAAGTAACAAAATCAACAGCTGGCCTCAAATTTAAAGTGCTGTACAGTAAATCCCCGCATATAAGAACCTACAAAAATAAGAACCTAGAGGCTGTTTTTCCTAAACTATGCACCTTGTAATTAAGAACCTGTTTCAGTGTGATAAAATATAATAGGTTCTTATTCCAAGGGCAAAAAATATAGTTTTTAATGGTAAAATGATAAAAAATAGATAAAATCACAATCAGTATAAAAGGTTTAAGTTGTGCATTTTCAGCATTTCAAACACAAGAAAGAGAATTTTAAAATCACTTTGACTTTTTTAACATAATTTTAAATAGCAAAATTCAAAACATTGAAAAATGAAAAAAAACATCAGAATTCATAATGTTCAATTCCCTGAGGACGTATGAGATTATCTCCAGATCCATCCACTGTCATAAGGCAGCCAGTGCGCTCAAATGCCTTTCTGAAAATATCTTTGTAATGTTGCATTTCATCCCATGCATCACCAGCCCACTTTGTCATTAGAATTCGTCTTTCTTTTGCACTCATTTTGCCATGCCATTTCTCAACATTCTCATCAATTTCAAGCCACTTATCCAAAGCATTTCCAATTTTTAGCTTCATGAATCTTCCGATTCCTGCATCAATAGGCTGCACTTTATCAGTTTGATTCTCTGGCAGCATGTAAACGACTGCATTGCATTTTGTCCTGCAAGCTTCATGAAATTCCTTTCTTAACTGAAAAGATACATTGTCAGCAAAATTACACTTTCCTTTGACTTGTCTGCTACTCCTGGGACTAAAGTGTTTTCTGTCCATTCAAGGTTGATTTCATTGTCCATCCATGCATTTTTCTGAAAGTATACATCAACATGCTTGTCATGTTTGGCCAGTTCTTGCAATGTCATATTACCTTTTCCTCGAAAAATTATTGCAGGTTTAACTGTTTGCTCCCCTTTGGCTCTGATACACAGCTGTAATGTTGCCTGTCTTTTTTCTAGTCCATTCATGGGCTGGGAAATCCAAATTTTTTTTTCTCCTGTTTCTGCATAGGTTTTCCCTTGATCCACAGCAAATGGAAAAGGTACTTGGTCTATGTGATACCTATTTGCAGGTAGCCATCTTCCCCACTTTGCATCCATTATGGTTTTACCATGCAACCGTTGCCGCTGTGTTTTCAGTGCTTTCCTTAGTGTCCTATGGAATGATTGGATAGTTGATCTGCAGTCATCAGCTGACTTCTGTTTCTTATTTGTTCTGTTTCTCAGAGAAATCTGGTATCGCTTCCTGAATCGGTGAAACCAATTGTTACTTGCTTTGAACTTGGTGGCCCTCTCAGTTCCATAAATATCCTGAATTCTGTACTTCATAGTTTTGCATAACCACAACTTTGTTATCTTTAGTCCCTTCTTCCTTCTTTGCCTAAATTCAGTAACGACAGCCATGGAAGCAAGTGGAAACTTTTCTTGCTCCTTTTTTTTTGATTGCACTTTTCTTCTTTGCCTTGCAGCCTTGAAATTTCCAACTCCCTTCTTGATTGTGTTGTTTGATAAACATTCAAGAAGTTTCTTTCTGTCTTTGTTCCACTTAATAACGAGTGATTTGTTTGAAATTCCTCTCATCAAAGCAACTTTCTCCCATTTGTTCTTCAGATTCTTTGTCACTGAAAGTCTGTCTAACAGCCGCAAAGTTTTAACTTTGAAATCTAATGTGTATGATCGTCGCCTACAGCTTCCACGACGCAATGATGGGCAGCCTCTTCCTTCTTTTTCGATGACTTTTTGTGTGACTCCTATTTTGCTATGTGTCAACAGTACTTCCATACTTTCTCCAGAGGCACAGAGTGTTCCTTCATCAGGACTGGTAAACATTTCATGCTGCTTGCCTTGACCTGATCCGGAAGGATGTGACGCAGGATGCTTCCAAAACATATGAGTGCCTAGGTACTGTTGTGATGTGAAATTCTTCTTGCAAACTTCGCACTCAATTGGCTTCGTACTGGACGAGGCTGTTTTTGGCATCGATTGTGTGACATCATAACATGTGCCATGTTCGCTTACTATTTTCTTGGTAAAACCAAATTTGAACAAGGTGCCTTGCATTTCTATACTCGATCAGGTGGAAACCACCAAAGCAACGATGCCAACTTCCCGGAATGCGATAATGTCAATTATCTTCCCGCCAAAACTGCAGCCTCAACTTCACAATAATCTCAAAAGAGGTTCCTCTTCAAGCAAACCTGAGCACACTGAGCCACCATCATTGTTTTTATCTCAAATGGCTGAAGAAATGCAGTTTTTTGCAGAATCTATCATGCGAGGGTATCATGTGTACTACAAAGATGTCGAAGTCTTTATTGGCAAAATTTTGTTCTGTGAAGTCGAGAATGATAATGAATTTGATGATTATGCCGTAGCATTAAAGACTGAGGATGGTGAGCTGGCAGGACACGTTCCAATTGAACTTTCAAAGGTTTTTACAGAATTTTTGCAGAATTATGGAGAAATTGAGGCTGAATGTATTGGTCTTAGATACAATTCAGGTGAAGGAAAAGGAATGCAACTTCCAATAGATTACAGATTTATTGGCAATGTTAAATACTTGAAAAACTTGAGGAAAGAATTGAAACAATTGAAATTGATAGATGCATCATGTGTTTTGAAAAACATCACTGCAATTGAAATATCCATGTCGCAAGTAGCTTGCCACAAACGTTTTTGTAAATAGTTTTTGGAATACATATGAAGGAGAAACTTATACCAACTGAAGTACTATCCTTCTTGTGAAACATCTCTTGTTTCAAATTTCACTTCAGCATTAAACTCGGCAATCTGGCAAGGCTGTACTTAAAGAGCATACATATATTTTCAAGAAACTTTATTTACTTGTGATTGCATTTGTGAGGGCCATTGACAAAAAAGATTTGTCTGTGTCATAGTCTGAACATCCCCTCCTATTTAAAGCCAAGATTTTTGTTGAGATTTGAGCATAGAATTGGTTATTATATCATTAATAATATTGCCAAAAGGAAAAAAACAGGGTTGAATGCATCTCTTGATGATGAATCCTAAAATTTTAAATAAGGGATCCTTCGAATAAGAACCTTCAAACCCTGAAATTAATCTAAGTACCTTTCCAATAAGAACCTATTTCAGCCTGAACCTCAAAAAAGTAGGTTCTTATATGCGGGGATTTACTGTACTCGCAAGGAAATGGAAGGATTAGCGCGCTAATAAATGTTTCAGTATTGAAATTCAATAACAATCATCACCAGTGCCAGGTACAGTCATTTTGTACCACTGAAATTCAAAGACTAACCTTAGAAACACCTTAGAGATTCAATAGAAGGATGTAGGGCCACCTTTGTGTACCAAATCCATAGTAAGTAGTAACTCTCTATTTCACGGTTTCTAGAAATCTAAAAATCAATTAAATAGAATTTGCCTTGTTTTTCTTTACATGCTGTTGGCTGAACACTTGTCTTCTCCTTAACTGTTGATTTGTGGGTCGTGTCTGTTCTCGTTGTTGGTTCACTTGAACTTGGTACTAGTGTTGATGGAAAAAACGTTTGTAACTTAAGGTGTCCACAAATAGGTTTTCTAAGTATTATGCTTTTAAACAGCTGTAAATCGTCCAAAACAATAATAGCAACCAGATCAGGTCAAAGAAAGGAAAAAAACGCGATTATGAATGAGATTTATACCAACCCGGTGTTTTTGAAGTTTTTGAAGAAATAGTCGGCGGAAGTGTTAATGGGATAGGTGTTTCTGAGACTTTGGCAGTGAAGACCTTTGAAGTACTCTTGAAACTCATCGTCATTTCAACGTCAGTGATATTCACGTTTCCTTGAATCTTGCATTTCTTTATTTCATCGATGTTATATCCAGTTTCAGTATAAACAGTCCCTGAGGCATTCTTCAATCTCACTTCGTATTTCACGTAACAAGCCCCAGATTCGGCCTTCGTCCATTTCACTTCGACACAACTGTCTACGTTTATCTTTCTTGCTTGCAAATTCGGATTGCCATCAAGATTCACTGAAAAAAGAAGTTTCACATATCTATTGAGGCTTTCGTGCGTGCTGTTTATTAGACTCATTAAAAATGGCTTTGAAAAAAGCAAACATTTTACAACATACTTAAAGCTTTTTCGTCTGACACTCCTCAGAGCATAAAACATCAACATCAAACGTTAACAACATCTTTTAGACAACCCAGATTGTGCAAAACTCTATAATGACGACATGTTTCGGATAATTGGCAGAGCCCGGTCGTCCTTCCATCTAGCAGTTTTGGAGTCAATCTACATAAAAACGAAAAAGCCGCCATTGTGTAGACAAAAGGAGTTCTTTTTCTCTCTTTGACTCCATTGGTAATTTTTCTTTAGGCTCGCGGCACTGATTGGTCAACTATACCGGTCTTGTGCTTGCGTTTTTCTGATTGGCCTATTTCGATCCACAACTGGGTATATATTTTTCAAACATGTTTTTTCGGAACCTATTCTGACGTTTTATGCTCTGAGGAGTGTCAGACGAAAAAGCTTTAAGTATGTTGTAAAATGTTTGCTTTTTTCAAAGCCATTTTCAAATTCTGTACCGCAAAAAAATAGACTCATTAACTACTCCATCTTTGCGTGGACGGATACGTGAGCGTATAAAAAGAAGCATACTTTTCTGTTCACGTAGCCTTCCGTAGCCTCTTCACTTACATCCAAGATTATATGACGTCAAACTTTACTTTCTGTCAAGCGGCAAAAGTCCTAACTATGACGTCCTCCTGTTATGCCCTAGAGCTCTTTCATATGCATCGATATCATGTTCTTATCGTCCATTTACACAGCATTAATAGAGAAGAGCCCATTCTTGTTTACCACTCCATTCCTTTGGGCATACTTTTTCACCTTCAAAAAATCAAATGTAAAAATTTAAAAGTTCTGTATTACTATCAACATGAAGCACTTACGTAAAACAGTGACATTGGTGTCTCTGGCAAGTGATGACCCAATACTGTTCTTCACTGAAGATTTCAATATTCTTCCACAAAAAGTAGCCGCTATATTTGGACGTGAAAACTTTGCTGAATAAACATATGGGTAAATTTGGCTACCAGCAACAGTTGTCCCACCATCACCAAGATGAGGCCAAAGAAAATCAGCTGATGGCGCAGGGTTTCCATCCATTTCAATTGCTATTTCTAAGTTTGAATTTTCATTCACTTCAACTGTAGCTGGAGGTGGTGTGATGAATTCTGGTACTCCTATTGACAAAAGAGAAATAATATTTCCTATCCTTGAAATTTTTCAACGGGACAAATGAATGCTGCAACTCGAAAAATCAAACTAATCTACCCATGGGTCAGGTTTGATTGTATTTTTGTTATAATAAGGATACGACCGGAGAAACTGTACGAGGTGGTTTGCAGCACTGGATGCGGCTGTGACAAATCAGTAGTTGCATTTTCTTCTTGATACTAACAGGAGATGTTTCCAATGCGGCTTATTTCAGAATAGCTTTTGAATAATTTAAATTTACCTGCCTCTGACAACAATTACATAATGAAATAAATTTTCTACGTTTTGAATTGCAATCGCTTGGTCAATTGCTAAACTTCCTACTTCTTCGTCACAAATTAACACTTTGAATCGGCATTAGCAGTTAGCTAATAATAAACGACCGGAACGATTTGTTTTTATTATATAAGAGAGAAACTATCAACGGAAAACAAAAACAACAAGAAAACGTCATGAAAGTGATTTGTAACTTGATTGGTTAAAAAAATTAGAAGCAATACAAATAATATGCATTCCTCGATTGCTCCATCTTAAAAGTACCATGCCTAAACATATCTACAAAGCTGAAAGGGTTTGTTAAAATATATAACGTTACCGTTGATTGTAATGCTGACAACTGGTTTGAGGTAACCATTATTTGAGGTGGTTGTACCACCAAAAGTGAAGTCTAAAATAACATATGATGCAAATTGGTAAGCAGTGTCGTTGTACTTCAATCCACTGATCACCAGTGTATCGTTGGATGGTATTACTGTGAGCCTTCCAGAGAATGGTGCTGGAACAGTTGGCACAAGCTGAAGCAAACCATTTGATCCTGTCCTCTTTGCTACAGGTTGCAGTGCTGCCTGTGAAGAACTGTTAAATCCAATTATTTGTTCTCTGTAGACTATTACTCCGGGACTATCACCACCATACTCATATCCCCATGTTAACCATAGTGAAGAGCCTTTCACTGATGTCACGTGACTTGGTGATGACTTTGTTTCATTTGCAATAAGTTGTCCTGGATTAGCCGCTGATACTGTAACTGAGATATAAAGATGCTAAACTAATAAATTCAAATTACCAAAAAAGCTTTGCTGTAAGTCGTTAATTTTATCTTTTATCACATATTCAGCCGATGCAAAGTTACCTGTGTTACTCATACACGTTACCCATTTAACAAATCAAGAAAAGATTTTGACTGGCTTTAGCTTAGCTTTGGAAGTTGTCCATGTCATGGAAAATTGTAAATTTTGAAGCTAGCTATTTCTGGTTATTTCTTCTTGCGTAGTAGTAATGTTTCAGTTTTAATTTCATGTACCTTGCAAAAGCCTAAGCTGAATTTTGACACTAAAGCCTTTCGATGTTATAATTTTCAACTACAACATAAATACCTGATGACAGTGTGTATGTGAGCCAAAATATCTTGAATTGAATATTCCACTCTACTTCCATGACAAAGAATAAAGTGTTGCTGAAATTGAACAAGTTGTGGAATTGGAAGATGATAGAATAGTTTCAACACAATTTAATTTTTTTGGTGCAGGCTGGTTTACTTTTCAACCTTGTATGAAGAAAAAAATGAAAAAAACTAAGAAGCATGGTAATGCATTAAGAGCTTTTGGGTCGCTCTGTGTATAGGGTTTTCAAAATTAGATTATGCAAAGAGTATTTATTTTGTATAAATTGTTCAAGCTAAGTCACCGGATTTAAACAAATCGATGGGATCCTGATTTGAATACTTTTCCTTTGTATATGCACAGCGCGTTTATTATATCTGATAGTTTTATCGCCCAGCACAGTTTATATGTTGATGCCCTGCTCAGCATTTCCTTTCATTTTTCTTCCCAATTTTTCTACATTATTGGTACCTCTCATTATAGTCAATCTAAAATGACTTGTTTAAGTGAAGAACACCTTAAGTATCTATGTAATAAGGTTAAAACAGAGAAATATGTATTTTTAGATATTTTTTTAACCTTTTCTCAAAGAGGGAAATATACAAACTATATCTAAATCGGCACGCCAAAGTACGCCAGTAAACAAAGTTACAGTTTTATAAATTGTATCGATAAAAAGCTATAGTGTAAAGCCTAAAAAGATCATGGTTCAAATACCCCAGTCTAGAAATTGCTCAAGGAAGAAATCTTAAAACTTATATCGCATCTACTTTTATATTGTACGCCAAAGTACACCAGTAAACAAAGTTACAGTTTTATAAATTGTATCGATAAAAAGCTATAGTGTAAGGCCTAAAAAGGTCATGGTTCAAGTACCCCAGTCTAGAAATTGCTCAAGGAAGAAATCTTAAAACTTGAATCGCATCTAGTTTTATATTGTACGCCAAAGTACACCAGTAAACAAAGTTACAGTTTTATAACTTGTATCGATAAAAAGCTATAGTGTAAGGCCTAAAAAGGTCATGGTTCAAGTACCCCAGTCTAGAAATTGCTCAAGGAAGAAATCTTAAAACTTGAATTGCATCTAGTTTTATATTTTACGCCAAAGTACACCATTAAACAAAGTTACAGTTTTATAACTTGTATCGATAAAATGCTATAGTGTAAGGCCTAAAAAGGTCATGGTTCAAATACCCTAGTCTAGAAATTGCTCAAGGAAGAAATTTTAAAACTTGAATCGCATCTAGTTTTATATTTTACGCCAAAGTACACCAGTAAACAAAGTTACAGTTTTATAACTTGTATCGATAAAAAGCTATAGTGTAAGGCCTAAAAAGATCATGGTTCAAATACCCCAGTCTAGAAATTGCTCAAGGAAGAAATTTTAAAACTTGAATCGCATCTAGTTTTATATTGTACGCCAAAGTACACCAGTAAACAAAGTTACAGTTTTATAACTTGTATCGATAAAAAGCTATAGTGTAAGGCCTAAAAAGGTCATGGTTCAAATACCCCAGTCTAGGAATTGCTCAAGGAAGAAATCTTAAAACTTGAATCGCATCTAGTTTTATATTGTACGCCAAAGTACACCATTAAACAAAGTTACAATTTTATAACTTGCATCGATAAAAAGCTATAGTGTAAGGCCTAAAAAGGTCATGGTTCAAATACCCCAGTCTAGAAATTGCTCAAGGAAGAAATCTTAAAACTTAAATTGCATCTAGTTTTATATTGTACGCCAAAGTACACCAGTACACAAAGTTACAGTTTTATAACTTGTATCGATAAAAAGCTAAAGTGTAAGGCCTAAAAAGGTCATGGTTCAAATACCCTAGTCTAGAAATTGCTCAAGGAAGAAATCTTAAAACTTGAATCGCATCTAGTTTTATATTTTACGCCAAAGTACACCAGTAAACAAAGTTACAGTTTTATAACTTGAATCGATAAAAAGCTATAGTGTAAGGCCTAAAAAGGTCATGGTTCAAGTACCCCAGTCTAGAAATTGCTCAAGGAAGAAATCTTAAAACTTAAATCGCATCTAGTTTTATATTGTACGCCAAAGTACGCCATTAAACAAAGTTACAGTTTTATAACTTGTATCGATAAAAAGCTAAAGTGTAAGGCCTAAAAAGGTCATGGTTCAAATACCCCAGTTTAGAAATTGCTCAAGGAAGAAATCTTAAAACTTAAATCGCATCTAGTTTTATATTGTACGGCAAAGTACACCAGTACACAAAGTTACAGTTTTATAACTTGAATCGATAAATAGCTCTAGTGCAAGGCCTAAAAAGGTCATGGTTCAAATACCCCAGTCTAGAAATTGCTCAAGAAAGAAATCTTAAAACTTAAATTGCATCTAGTTTTATATTTTACGCCAAAGTACACCAGTAAACAAAGTTACAGTTTTATAACTTGAATCGATAAATAGCTCTAGTGTAAGGCCTAAAAAGGTCATGGTTCAAATACCCCAGTCGAGAAATTGCTCAAGAAAGAAATCTTAAAACTTGATTTGCATCTAGTTTTATATTTTACGCCAAAGTACACCAGTAAACAAAGTTACAGTTTTATAACTTGAATCGATAAATAGCTCTAGTGTAAGGCCTAAAAAGGTCATGGTTCAAATACCCCAATCGAGAAATTGCTCAAGAAAGAAATCTTAAAACTTGATTTGCATCTAGTTTTATATTTTACGCCAAAGTACACCAGTAAACAAAGTTACAGTTTTATAACTTGAATCGATAAATAGCTCTAGTGTAAGGCCTAAAAAGGTCATGGTTCAAATACCCCAGTCGAGAAATTGCTCAAGAAAGAAATCTTAAAACTTGATTTGCATCTAGTTTTATATTTTACGCCAAAGTACACCAGTAAACAAAGTTACAGTTTTATAACTTGAATCGATAAATAGCTCTAGTGTAAGGCCTAAAAAGGTCATGGTTCAAATACCCCAGTCGAGAAATTGCTCAAGAAAGAAATCTTAAAACTTGATTTGCATCTAGTTTTATATTTTACGCCAAAGTACACCAGTAAACAAAGTTACAGTTTTATAACTTGAATCGATAAATAGCTGTAAACAAAGTTACAGTTTTATAACTTGAATCGATAAATAGCTCTAGTGTAAGGCCTAAAAAGGTCATGGTTCAAATACCCCAGTCTAGAAATTGCTCAAGAAAGAAATCTTAAAACTTAAATTGCATCTAGTTTTATATTGTACGCCAAAGTACACCAGTAAACAAAGTTACAGTTTTATAACTTGTATCGATAAAAAGCTATAGTGTAAGGCCTAAAAAGGTCATGGTTCAAGTACCCCAGTCTAGAAATTGCTTAAGAAAGAAATCTTAAAACTTAAATTGCATCTAGTTTTATATTGTACGCCAAAGTACACCAGTAAACAAAGTTACAGTTTTATAACTTGTATCGATAAAAAGCTATAGTGTAAGGCCTAAAAAGGTCATGGTTCAAATACCCCAGTCTAGAAATTGCTCAAGAAAGAAATCTTAAAACTTGAATTGCATCTAGTTTTATATTGTACGGCAAAGTACACCAGTAAACAAAGTTACAGTTTTATAACTTGTATCGATAAAAAGCTATAGTGTAAGGCCTAAAAAGGTCATGGTTCAAGTACCCCAGTCTAGAAATTGCTTAAGAAAGAAATCTTAAAACTTAAATTGCATCTAGTTTTATATTGTACGCCAAAGTACACCAGTAAACCAAGTTACAGTTTTATAACTTGAATCGATAAATAGCTCTAGTGCAAGGCCTAAAAAGGTCATGGTTCAAATACCCCAGTCTAGAAATTGCTCAAGAAAGAAATCTTAAAACTTAAATTGCATCTAGTTTTATATTGTACGCCAAAGTACACCAGTAAACAAAGTTACAGTTTTATAACTTGAATCGATAAATAGCTATAGTGGAAGGCCTAAAAAGGTCATGGTTCAAATACCCCAGTCTAGAAATTGCTCAAGAAAGAAATCTTAAAATTTAAATTGCATCTAGTTTGATATTGTACGCCAAAGTACACCAGTAAACAAAGTTACAGTTTTATAACTTGTATCGATAAAAAGCTATAGTGTAAGGCCTAAAAAGATCGTGGTTCAAATACCCCAGTCTAGAAATTGATCAAGGAAGAAATCTTAAAACTTGAATAGCATCTACTTTTATATTTTACGCCAAAGTACACCATTAAACCAAGTTACAGTTTTATAACTTGAATCGATAAATAGCTCTAGTGCAAGGCCTAAAAAGGTCATGGTTCAAATACCCCAGCAAAAGTATTCGAAAATTGAAAGGAAATAACTGCAAGGAACATCCTGAAATATATTTCAAACCTTATCTTATGGGCTTGGTACTGAAAACTTTCTGTTTGCTTCCATCGCAGGATTGTTGGGGATACGAGCTGAAACGGCTATTGTCTTTCCTTTTGTTTGTCGCTAAGAGTTTAAGTCCGTCTCTGAGAAGTTGCTTCCATTTTGCCGCGAAATACTGGTTTCAAATATCGCTCTCGCAGCTTCCCTCGCTTGGATGAACTTGGAGTTTCAGTTTCAGTTTCAGTTTCAGTTTCAGTTTCAGTTTCAGTTTCAGTTTCAGTTTCAGTTTCAGTTTCAGTTTCAGTTTCAGTTTCAGTTTCAGTTTCAGTTTCATTTATCACTCAATCCTAAATACAATTCTACAATACAATATATAATACCACACAAAACAAATTAAACTTACAGAAGACTAGAATAGAACTTTACATGATTGTATTTAAGACTGATTGATTAAGGAGGATTTCTCTAAATAGGTTAACTAATCGAGAGAGAGCCCCCCCTCCCCATAAAAACAAAAAAAACTAATAACATATTTTGATAAAAATAAATCAAACATATTACCAGATGTTTCATAACAAAACTTCATTGAGGATATTGGGAATAACCTTTCCAGGAGAATTTGCCAAAAAAGTTACCAATAACAGTCAATGATGTGTGTTTTCAATTTGGATCGGAAAATTGCAACAGAACTTCAAACTTTAGAAACAAAATATTGAATTGTTTGAAGACCGTACATAGTAGTATTTTTAAACGATGTTTTATCGTTCTGTTGTTGTTTATTAAGTACCTTTCTTGTAGAGGCCTAGATGGAGTGGCCC